ATCCTTGTGTGCAAACTCTGTATAGGACACACCCTTCCAGGACCTCTCCAGGCACAGTGCTTGCTGCACTCAGGCCAGGTTCTGTAGAGCCTCCCACTGTCCCCCTTCCCTCACACCAACATCGCAATTCCTCATCCACATCATTTTATCATGCACTTCATCAGAAAGATGCACGAGGATAATAAGAACTTCCTCTGGTTACTATAGCACCACAGACCAACACAGAGCACGATACAGCAAAATGTGTGCATTGTAGCAAAATGCTCAGTAGCTGTATGAAGGGAAAACCAGGCACTGAGGTCCGTGTCCTTATTTTCAGTACAGGGTAGTGTTCTCCTCATAGGTAACAGCCAAAACTAGGGTCAAAACTCTAAACCAGGAAGCACAATAAAACCATCACGCAGGGCATCCACTGCAACAGCAAGAAACAGCATCTCTACACACCTGTATGAATCAGGTGCAAGTTAGTGCAGAAAGGATGAAACTATGTTCTACTTCCACACAAACCTTCGCTGACAATGCCCTAGGAGACAGGCTGTGGCAAATGAGCAAACTGGCTGGCTGGTTTTCTCTTATTTCTTCATTATGAAATTACAAGCTCTGGAAAAACTTTGGCTCACAAGAAATCCAGTGGAGTGGGGCTGGAGAGATGGCTCAGTGGTTAAGAGCATTGACTGCTCTTAAAGAGGACCCAGGTTTGAGTCCCAGCACCCAATGGCGGCTATGAACTGTCCTTAACTCCAGTTCCAGGGGAATCCAAAGCCCTCTTCTGACCTCTGCAGCATTGCATGACATTGGTGCACTCATATACATGCAGGCAATATACTCATACACATAAAAATAAAAATAATAAAATATTAAAGAAGAAATCCAGTGGATTTTAAATTACCAAGCAATCTTTCTTGCTATTTCAACAATGATATCCCCCCCCCTGCTTTGTGAATTAAACATGCAAGCTTCCCAGCAACCACTCCAATTTCAACTGACATCCTGCTCCTTGGATAGTTTAATTATGTATAACTAGGACTATCCTGCAGGTCTCTGAAGTCCTGTGTAATAGACATATATACTAGATATCCAAATACTTCATCAGAAGTATCTGTTCAACCCATGTGGATATTGTAAAATCAATGACCCTGTTACAAACATTAGAATTTAAATTTAAGATTCTATTCAGCCCACAAACACAGAGGAATGCAGGAATCTCTACCTATCCAAAGGCTATCCAGGTGGGGCGCTCCCAGTTCCTCCCAAGGACCTTCACAATAGAGCTGGGAACTGATAATACTGAAATAATTTAGAACACAGAAGTTGACAAACATAAGAGACCAGAGTACCTACCTCCCCAGCATCACCCTGCTGAGGAAACCTGATTGACCAGCATCTCACTGGCAGCAAGGCAACCTTAGAGACAGGGATGCTCAGGTCTTCCAGGAGTACCATTATGAATTGGCAAAGAAGCAAGAATAGGACCCCCACACATGAAGATCATTAACCTCTTTCTACCCAACTTCTATGAAGAACATGTTTTGATATCATCTTATGACTTCAGAATGAAATATAGCTCAAGGTCAAATCTCCCTGCAAGCTCAGTCTGTGTGGGGGGCCCATCAGCTACAGATGTCAGAGCCTATGGGAATGAATGTTGCTGCCACTCTGCAAGATGGATTTGTTCCTAAAACATCTTCATTCTTGGTAGCAGGACAGGCTGTCTCCTGATGGACATGGACAAATGCTTGAGGCAGCTAAGTCTAGCATCAAAGCCCAGCTAATAGAGCACTCCCTTGCTCCACTCCACTGACCATGTGATGACCCTGAAACAAAGAAGGCAAGATCGGAAACCAGACATAAGAACTAAGTAGCTGCCAACATTTGCACTGACCAAGCCTCATTATCAGGGAAATACATATAATCTGAATTCTCCTTTATGAATAGTTGCCACTGATACATTCTCAAATGTGTTTCATATAGCACACACACACACACACACACACACATACACACACGCACACACATGCATGCACACACACATAACTCATGAAACAGGAAAAGCAGAAGATATATTGTTTACACTATATGCTACATTTTCATCAAGAAATCAAATTTCCTACCCTCAAAAGTTAATTGCATAAAGTGTTAAAGCATACAGGAGTCCACCATGGCTTACAGGGGAGAACCGCCTATAAAACAATAAAGACAGGTTAACTTTTCACTGGAAAAATCATCAGTCACACAATAAAATGATATATGTGAGAAAGTTGCTCCTCAGAAAATTACCAAATCCATGCAGGACTCAGCATGCCCTGTGGACCTACATCCACCTAAGGCTCACCAGCTTGAATGTGGTCACACAAGAGCTGGTCCTGAATGAGACAAGGGGAATGTCCCAAAAGCTGGGGTCAGGGTCACCTCTAGTTTGTGATCCCTCACCAAAAATGAGTTTCAAGGTAGGGGAGACCCAGTGGTGTTGTCTAATAGCAAATCCTAACAGAAGGTGGCTGTACTCAAGCCAGAGACAGCAACTGAAATCCCAGACATCAGCAGCAGCTACCCTGTCTGCCTGGGTCAGCTGCCACAGTCCAGTGCACACAGCTGCTAGGCTGGACTTTTCAGGAATACAGTTCGCAAGCCGAAGACAAAATAAAGGTCACAATATTAGGAGTCACTGAAATGGGGAAAGGGAAGAATGTCTAGAAAACTGAATTAACCTACGCCCAACCCAGGCCTCAGTTCTCCTATGAACAAATTCCAAAGGGTAAAGAGAAGAGTAACTGGTGAAGTTAACCTCTTTACCTCAAACACCAAAATTATTACAAACAATCAAAGTAGGTTAAATGATGATATGCTTTTCTTTGAAAAAAATCCATGTTTAATTCAGAAACATGAATCATATATGAAGTTAATGGCATCCACAGCATTTCTAAAATAAGGAAGAAAACAGACAAGAGCATGAACGTAGTGACTCATCTTTTCTAACTGTGGTGAAATTTTCACATCACCATTCCATCCCAATCATACCAAGTCTATTCATGGTGCCGTGCCACTATCTCCAGAATTTTATCCATCTTCTAAGACTGAAAACTTCCCCCAACCCAAAGCTGATCTTAGGCAGAAATTTTGTAAACTATTCCACAAATCACCAGAATAAAAGCTGATTACACTCATGTACATTTGGAACTTCATGTTCTGTTGAAACACAAAGGCCCTCCCCATTATGCTTGTGTATTAGATTTCTTCGATAACAGAGCAGCCTGGATGTGCTAGATCTAATCCTGTTGCAAGAACTAAAATTCTGAACAAACACAGACCTCCAAGAGTCATTTTTTTCCTCCAAGTACTGGTCCTTCCGTTTGGTGCAATTCCTTCCCTGTTCACACCTAAGGCGATAACTCAGGTCCTCACCAACTTCAGGTTGAACTGTTTTTTCAGGACCTCCTGGCCAATGTCCACTACAGTCAGGGCTCAAAGGAGGCAATCTTCCTGGGTCTAGGAGCCAACAACCAGGATTCTTAGGAAATGTAAATAAAGAATCTTGTGCTGGCATCTTCCAAACTAACTTGAAACTTTGCATATAGCAAACTGTCTCACAATACCCAACACTCATTTAAGTTCTAAACAGCCACTGCGATCATCACAGGGTAGAGCTTAGTTTGTTTTATCATCTTGATGCTTCCGGGCCTAGAATGGCACATGGAGTCTGGCCCCTGCTCCTCCTCACACGTCAGTGTGCTTCTTTCAGGTATATGTCTACTAACAAATACTTTCAGAAAACAGAGGCTTAAAAATACCCAACTGTGTTATAAGCATGTTTCTCCATACACGGTAAATAGGTTGACATATGTTTTAGTAGGTAAAAACAAACAGAAACGGTTGTGCAAACTCGCTAAAAAAGGATGTGGTCGATAACATATCAATGCATATTTTTAAGTAAATAATGAAAATCCATTTTCCAAAAACCTCAGTGCTTTCATTGGACTAATAAACATAAGTGACACCCTTTACCTCTCAGTAACCATACCTGTTTAGAGGGTATGTATAATACAACAAAAGTAATCTCACTAAAGCAAGCCCCTCTATCATCACAACATCAATGAGGAACTGTCAGAAAGCCTCTGTTTTATACCCAACGAAAATACCCTGGGATTTACTTGTGTATTTGTTAAGACACAGATGGTTTTAGAACTGAGTAAAGTCTGCAGGACCCTTTGTAGAAAGTAGCTGCATCCACCATCTGCTCCTCAGCCTTGAAGACTCATTTTGAGGAAAATAGCTTTAATTATTAGCTCTATTCATGGAGTAACCAAAGCATAGATCCATAGGCTAATACAATATACATTCTCTTTTTTAAATGTTAAACAATCAACTTTCAAAGGGATTTACAGAACTTCCTTTTCTCCACATTTCCTCAGAAGAACTCAGAGCATGTATATTCAGATTGCAGCCAATCACACTGTCCATTCACAATGAGAAGCTGCAGGGCAATGCAAGCACCCACCACAAGATCCCTGTTCCATCCTGACTCAATCAAATCTTGGAGAGCATGCATCTGGCCAAATCCCACCCTGATGGCCAGTGGACTCCAAACACCCCACACTGGCCAAAAGCAGTGTCAATTTTTAGCAAAGATGTAAAGTAAGCAAACCAAACAGCTTTGAAAATTATCTAGTCATCTTTTAAAACAAGCCATGTTCCCTTGAAAATTCAAAATCACAATCATTTGAATCCACTTCTTTTATCAAAAACAGAAATCGAGCTTAACTTGTACCTCACCACAGAACTGAATAGTCCATCTTTTCTGCTTCTTTCAGTAATTTCTCTCTCTTTCTCTCTCTCTCTCTCTAACACACACACACACACACACACACACACACACACACACACACACACACATACGCACACACAATGTCAACTGCAAAAAGTCCATAAAACTTTGGTATCACATCTCTCAGTGCCACTGACACACAACTTGTGGTCTCAGATCAGAAAGAGGCAGAACTTACCTGTGTTCCTGTCTGGTAATATGCAGCAATGCTTCTGCAGAATGCCGGGCAGAACCTGTTTCAAAACAAATAAATAAAATGTACTTGGTTATTATTCAAGCCAAGGACGGCATCTCATTAACTGCTGTGAGGGATTTTCTAATAAGGTCTTTCGATGCTACACAAAGTCATTGCACCCTGGATGGTCTCACAAATTAAACGATACAAAAAATGCTGATGACATACATTTTTCATCAAAAAGGTTAATCAGGTAAGTGTGCTGATTGTATATGCTGCTTCTGGGATGGGGCTGCTGCTCAGGAAAGCACACCCTAATGGATCCTGAGAGATCTGCAAAGCGGCACTTGAGGGGCTTCTGTGTGCAGAGAAATTGGCCTGCCAATTTTCCTGATGGCTTTTAAAATATTAGGTGCAATTAGAGCCTGACAATGAAGCCTCACTGGGATTACGCTGGGTCTTCATCGAGGACCTAAGCTCAGCTATTCTCATCATAGAAGATTTGTGAGGATAACGTAAAGCAAAAGGCTGTGTTTATACTCTGAGCTTTGTGGGAAGAAGTGTCTTGTTTGATAAGGGGACGAAAGGTGAAAATAATGGAAAATGGTTTTATCACGAAAATTCCACAGTGTAAAACTACTGCAAAGCACAGGCTGGAAAAACTGCAACCAAAGATTCCCCATAGGAAATTTATGATCATGCTTCCTAAGTCACTTTAGAGAGAAGCTGAACTTTCATGCCTCCACAAGACCAGGCACAGTCAGTTCCTCAGCCAGCAGTGGCAGCTGCCCAAAGGTCTCTGCCAGGAGGACAGTATTACTTCAGATGTGCTCCATTCCAGGACATAAGCATCCCAGCGAAATGCTAGGAGTCTAATTCCTACCTTTGTGGAATTAGCTGCATTTTCTCTGCCATAACCACCTTCTCCTCTTCTACCTCCTCCAACTACCCTGTGTTCAGGAAAGAATGATCTTACCCTAAATATAATTGACTGGATAAGACAGCACCAGCAGTATTTGATGCTAGATAAACCTAACAACAGAAAACAAAGCAATAAACAAAGAAGTAGCTAGTAAATGCTATGAAAAATATAGAATTAGAGTTCAAAAATATACTCCTGATTGTTACCCAGTTGACTGCTGAGTTGGGACACAGACCAGAGATTATGAAAACCTCAGTCAATTTATCTCCATGACAAGAGCCACAGTATCAACTCCAGTCTGTGCTTCAGAATGTATGTATGGTATTGAGAGCCTCCATCAGCTAGGACTGACCCTGGGAGTTGTTTCTTTTTTCTTTCTTTTGAGAATTATCCTTTATTTTCCTTAGCTTATTTTTGGAATGAGTTGTTTGTTTTCTTGTTGATTAGGTTTTATTTTTTCCTATTTTTCCTTTTTATTGAATTTTTACAATTTACATACAATGTATTTCGACCTTATTTAAATCTACTTCCTATCCACACCTTCTCAGAAATTGTCACCTGCTGACCAATTTAATGTGCCCTCGAAAGAGAATGACTCGTCCACTCCAGCAGACATCAGTTGTCAATAGTTTCTCAGGTAGGACTGGGGTTTCTTACCTACTTCCCCATATCTGTGCTGGGATTTTACCTAGTTTGAGCTTACATGGGAATTGTGCATGCTGTCACTATTACTATGAGTACATATGAGCAACTAATCAGCTGTCTGGGAAATTGTTTCCTTGTGGTCATCCACCACCTCTGGCTCTCACAATCTTTCCACCTCATCTTCCTCAATGATTCCTGAACCTTGGGAGACAGAGTTTTAATATAGATGTCCTATTCAGGGATAAGCAGTCTGCAGTCTTTTACTCCTGCACTTTCTGGTTCTCTGTGTTAATTACCATCTGCTGCATAAGGAAGCTTCTCTGGTGAGAGCTGAGAGATGCATTAACCTATGGGCATAACAATAAATCATTAGGCGTCAGTTTAATACTATATCAATTTTGCAGAAAACTAGGCCTGTTGGATATCTAGTCTTAGTTCCTAAGTCTGATATCAGTTGTAAAGTGATTGGTTACTCCCATAATATTTATGTCACTGTTGCACTGGTGGACATCAGTCCAGTTATAGATTTCAGGATTCACAACTAGGTGAGGTTGGTGATTAATTTTTTCTTCAGGTAGCATGCATAGCACTTTCCAGCACTATGAAAGCTAGCCAGTTGAGATGAGGCTGTCAGGATCAGCTTGGCTTCTAGAAGTTGTTTCTGACCCCTTCCCTACAGAAGTCATGACCCTTTAATGCTAAGGATGCAGTAACACACAGAGTTACAATCTAGCCCTCCACCAGTAAGGACTCCTTGACTTTATGCTCCCCTCACTCAACAGCTAACACATACTCTTTGCTTCCCACTTCCAGCACTTTCCAAAGGTTCTATAGGTCCATACCAGGCCTGGTAGCCAATCTCTCTCAAATGGCACAAAATGGTCCAGTGAGTTTAGAAAGTACTATACCCCTCGTGACCTATGTGAAGAATGAAAGAACATCTCTGTAGGAAGCTTCTAACAACCCCAGTTAGACCCATTTGCCCAGAGGACTCTTCCTGGTTCCTTCTAACCTTCTAACTTCCAGAGAGTAAAACTAACCAACCAACTAGAGAAACCTTGTAACTGGTCACTTTAGCCCCTTCTCCACCCCAGAAAAACAATTAGGGATGCACCAGTAGGTTAACTTCACTAAGGAATGAGATAGGCCACAGAACATAGTCACAAGGCAATCTGGGTCCTTTCCAACACCCTTAATGCCAGGTGTGGTGGTTTGAATGAGAATGTCCCCCATAGGCTCCAAGTGTTTGAACATTTTGTTCCCAGTTGGTGGCACTGTTTTGGGAGGTCTTAGAAAATGTGGCTATGCTGGAGGAAGCACGTCACTGGAGGCAGGCTTAGAGAGTTCTTAAGCCATGCTCTTGCTTCCTGTGCCTCCTTGAAGATGTAGAGCTTATCTTCCACTCCTCCTCCAGCTACCTCTGCCACCATACCTCCCCGCCATGATGAACACTTGCCCCTTTGGAACCATAGGCTCAAATAAACTCTTCCTTCTATAAGTTACTTTGGTCAGTGTTTCTATCACAGCAACAGAAAAGTGACTAATACATCAGGTCTTAGAGGCAACTGAATTAGCCACATGTCCCACAAATGTATCTTAAGGATCAGGAAATGAAGTGATCATTGCCTTAGCCTGCTATTCTCTCCCTGATCCACTGGGACATAGGGAATACTTAATCCAGGCACAAATTAAGTGGCAGTGACATATTGGTAGCTTTGGAAAGATCATAAGATGGTTGTGAGAAGGTATATGTGAGATGGGAGAAGAAGGAAGGTGGCCTGCATTGGTAGAGCATAAACATTCCAGCACACCTACATTCCTTTTTAGCTAAAACTCCCCTCAAGTGTGGCAGCTGAGCCACTGACTCCAGCTTCTGACATCACAGACCCAGAGAGACAGACAACAATGGGAGCAACCTCATCCTTTAAGTACTGTGTTCCTTTAGAGTTCTAGGTTCTCACTTGGGAGGGCCACAGTCAACAAAGGAATTGCCAGAATGTCACCCTTCTCCTGAGTCCTAAACTGAGTCCCAGACTCAGGTCAGGTCCTGGAAGCCATAGTGAGTGTATGGGGGAAGGTCCAGTCTGAGGAGCACTGAGTGTAAGAAGAATGTGTCAGATTGTTCGACATGTGTACAGACTTATTACTCTTCCTAGGGATGGCTGCTCTTGGTCAAGCTCACTGAGGTGTGGACACTTGGCTCTGGGGCCCAGGTGACTTCACACTCCAGCTTCCGAACTCCCTTCAGAGCTTCCCCAAGAGGCTGCTACCCCACAAGGCCATCAATACAATCCAAGGGTCTTTCTTTGATGGTCCCTTTGAAGAAATACTCCCTCTCCATCATAGCCTCAAATCTTTTTTTTGAGCACATCAAGTAGCTTTTCACTGGACTCCAAACAGAAAAATACAAGGAGCTAGAAGTCATAAACAGATCATGGTAGAATTCACCTTGACTTTCCAAAAGGCAGACGATCTGTGTTTAAAAATGGTGTCCATATCTAATCTTGACAGTCTCCTCCCAGATTCAGTCTTGGGATGACACCTGCACTAAATCTTGGATAGAGCCACAGACTCTCAAATGTCGGGCACACATCACTTCTTTGCAGCTGGTTGAAAGGAACGGCCAGGCAGGACTGTAATGGGTTTATTTATTCCGCTCTGAAGGATTTACAGAAGGCAGCAAAGGAGAATGAAATTATCCTGCCTGCCCAAAGGCACCTTTAAAAGTTCAATCCCACTCAACCTGCCTATTCTTTGAAAGCATTTAACTGCTGAAGATAATTGGAGATGTTGTCTTCTGCTCACCAAATCAGGGAAGGAGGTAGTATGAACACATTCACCCGCACCCCCAGAGTCACCATTAGCACTCCCCAAGAGAGCCCACCATTCCATGCTCTGAGGTAACCCTGACAACACCTATGCATTGTGCTGAGTTCAGGCCAGTACAGTTAATCAGTTTGAAGTCTGTGATCTAGGAAAAGTCTCCTACATGGCATGTAACCTCTTACAGCTGGTATGACAGGCGTCAGAACACAAAAGCATGCTGCTACAAAGTCTGCAGTCCTAAAGTCCAAAGTTAAGATGTAGGTAGTGCCATATGCCCATTTAAGACTTCAAGAATGACCTTTCCTGTCTTTACAGCTCCCAGAACCTTGTGGTTATGTCTTTTCAATCTCCATTGCACCTGCATGGCTTTTCCCTATCTACAGAGTGCTCCCTCCATACATGCACCAGCATGGTCTTCCGTACATATCCAAATGGTCCTCCACCTCCTGTATACATATGTACCCACATGGTCTTCCCTCCATACATGTGCACCCATACCCTCATGGTCTTGCCTCCACATGCATGTACCCATACCATCTTCCCTTCTCATGCATGCCAGGATGTCCCTTTACATAGAGACAGCCCTATTCAATTGGATCCCACACCAGTGGCCTCATCCTCCCTTAGCTCAATCTTCTATATCCAAATTGACATGCATTCTGAGG